TGATGATGATGATGATGATGATGATGATGATGATGATGATGATGATGATGATGATGATGATGATGATGATGATGATGATGATGATGATGATGATGATGATGATGATGATGATGATGATGATGATGATGATGATGATGATGATGATGATGATGATGATGATGATGATGATGATGATGATGATGATGATGATGATGATGATGATGATGATGATGATGATGATGATGATGATGATGATGATGATGATGATGATGATGATGATGATGATGATGATGATGATGATGATGATGATGATGATGATGATGATGATGATGATGATGATGATGATGATGATGATGATGATGATGATGATGATGATGATGATGATGATGATGATGATGATGATGATGATGATGATGATGATGATGATGATGATGATGATGATGATGATGATGATGATGATGATGATGATGATGATGATGATGATGATGATGATGATGATGATGATGATGATGATGATGATGATGATGATGATGATGATGATGATGATGATGATGATGATGATGATGATGATGATGATGATGATGATGATGATGATGATGATGATGATGATGATGATGATGATGATGATGATGATGATGATGATGATGATGATGATGATGATGATGATGATGATGATGATGATGATGATGATGATGATGATGATGATGATGATGATGATGATGATGATGATGATGATGATGATGATGATGATGATGATGATGATGATGATGATGATGATGATGATGATGATGATGATGATGATGATGATGATGATGATGATGATGATGATGATGATGATGATGATGATGATGATGATGATGATGATGATGATGATGATGATGATGATGATGATGATGATGATGATGATGATGATGATGATGATGATGATGATGATGATGATGATGATGATGATGATGATGATGATGATGATGATGATGATGATGATGATGATGATGATGATGATGATGATGATGATGATGATGATGATGATGATGATGATGATGATGATGATGATGATGATGATGATGATGATGATGATGATGATGATGATGATGATGATGATGATGATGATGATGATGATGATGATGATGATGATGATGATGATGATGATGATGATGATGATGATGATGATGATGATGATGATGATGATGATGATGATGATGATGATGATGATGATGATGATGATGATGATGATGATGATGATGATGATGATGATGATGATGATGATGATGATGATGATGATGATGATGATGATGATGATGATGATGATGATGATGATGATGATGATGATGATGATGATGATGATGATGATGATGATGATGATGATGATGATGATGATGATGATGATGATGATGATGATGATGATGATGATGATGATGATGATGATGATGATGATGATGATGATGATGATGATGATGATGATGATGATGATGATGATGATGATGATGATGATGATGATGATGATGATGATGATGATGATGATGATGATGATGATGATGATGATGATGATGATGATGATGATGATGATGATGATGATGATGATGATGATGATGATGATGATGATGATGATGATGATGATGATGATGATGATGATGATGATGATGATGATGATGATGATGATGATGATGATGATGATGATGATGATGATGATGATGATGATGATGATGATGATGATGATGATGATGATGATGATGATGATGATGATGATGATGATGATGATGATGATGATGATGATGATGATGATGATGATGATGATGATGATGATGATGATGATGATGATGATGATGATGATGATGATGATGATGATGATGATGATGATGATGATGATGATGATGATGATGATGATGATGATGATGATGATGATGATGATGATGATGATGATGATGATGATGATGATGATGATGATGATGATGATGATGATGATGATGATGATGATGATGATGATGATGATGATGATGATGATGATGATGATGATGATGATGATGATGATGATGATGATGATGATGATGATGATGATGATGATGATGATGATGATGATGATGATGATGATGATGATGATGATGATGATGATGATGATGATGATGATGATGATGATGATGATGATGATGATGATGATGATGATGATGATGATGATGATGATGATGATGATGATGATGATGATGATGATGATGATGATGATGATGATGATGATGATGATGATGATGTGATGATGATGATGATGATGATGATGATGATGATGATGATGATGATGATGATGATGATGATGATGATGATGATGATGATGATGATGATGATGATGATGATGATGATGATGATGATGATGATGATGATGATGATGATGATGATGATGATGATGATGATGATGATGATGATGATGATGATGATGATGATGATGATGATGATGATGATGATGATGATGATGATGATGATGATGATGATGATGATGATGATGATGATGATGATGATGATGATGATGATGATGATGATGATGATGATGATGATGATGATGATGATGATGATGATGATGATGATGATGATGATGATGATGATGATGATGATGATGATGATGATGATGATGATGATGATGATGATGATGATGATGATGATGATGATGATGATGATGATGATGATGATGATGATGATGATGATGATGATGATGATGATGATGATGATGATGATGATGATGATGATGATGATGATGATGATGATGATGATGATGATGATGATGATGATGATGATGATGATGATGATGATGATGATGATGATGATGATGATGATGATGATGATGATGATGATGATGATGATGATGATGATGATGATGATGATGATGATGATGATGATGATGATGATGATGATGATGATGATGATGATGATGATGATGATGATGATGATGATGATGATGATGATGATGATGATGATGATGATGATGATGATGATGATGATGATGATGATGATGATGATGATGATGATGATGATGATGATGATGATGATGATGATGATGATGATGATGATGATGATGATGATGATGATGATGATGATGATGATGATGATGATGATGATGATGATGATGATGATGATGATGATGATGATGATGATGATGATGATGATGATGATGATGATGATGATGATGATGATGATGATGATGATGATGATGATGATGATGATGATGATGATGATGATGATGATGATGATGATGATGATGATGATGATGATGATGATGATGATGATGATGATGATGATGATGATGATGATGATGATGATGATGATGATGATGATGATGATGATGATGATGATGATGATGATGATGATGATGATGATGATGATGATGATGATGATGATGATGATGATGATGATGATGATGATGATGATGATGATGATGATGATGATGATGATGATGATGATGATGATGATGATGATGATGATGATGATGATGATGATGATGATGATGATGATGATGATGATGATGATGATGATGATGATGATGATGATGATGATGATGATGATGATGATGATGATGATGATGATGATGATGATGATGATGATGATGATGATGATGATGATGATGATGATGATGATGATGATGATGATGATGATGATGATGATGATGATGATGATGATGATGATGATGATGATGATGATGATGATGATGATGATGATGATGATGATGATGATGATGATGATGATGATGATGATGATGATGATGATGATGATGATGATGATGATGATGATGATGATGATGATGATGATGATGATGATGATGATGATGATGATGATGATGATGATGATGATGATGATGATGATGATGATGATGATGATGATGATGATGATGATGATGATGATGATGATGATGATGATGATGATGATGATGATGATGATGATGATGATGATGATGATGATGATGATGATGATGATGATGATGATGATGATGATGATGATGATGATGATGATGATGAGATGATGATGAGTGATGATGATGATGATGATGATGATGATGATGATGATGATGATGATGATGATGATGATGATGATGATGATGATGATGATGATGATGATGATGATGATGATGATGATGATGATGATGATGATGATGAT